CACTGATATGCTAACTTGAATACTTACCTCTCAATAAAACTTATCTAAACTTTTTGAATTACTTACTTTTTTCCCTTTCAACCGTTTTGATTGTTCCAGTGTACTCATTTAGTTTGAAGTATGCATCTATGTCGTATGAAGAATATGTTATGTAATAGACATTTTTGAATTAGGAAGTTAAATTTCAAATGTATGTATACATTTCATCAATGAATTGCTGCTCTGGAACTACCGGTGGATAATGTGAATGGTAGCCGAATTGTGATGAGTATATATATATATATATTTATTTATAAATTTGTAGATATGTGCCCAACGTATGGAACAGTATCACTTCAACACATACAGTGTAATATTGAGGATTGATGTTGATTGTACACAACTGAAATTTCTATACTATTTTGAGGTTAAACTAAGAATAACACTGCATGTGGTTATTTGACGGTCACTGTTGTTATAAAGTCAATGTATATATCATCTAGCTACATATCAGATGTCTCATGTATACCGTGCTTCCCTCCACATGTCGACGTCTTCTTAGTCCAATCGATCATCATATTGCTCATCAAATTATAAATGTATCTCAACTGTCGAAATTTGTAAAAGTACAACTTGAGTATATTCAAATATCAGTAACTAATGAATGTTTCATTCATTTTAAGCATGAGTTTACCAAAACATTCAAGATTATTGGTTATCTTACCTTCGAGTTCTAAACTCGTATTATCTGCTGTTACCAGATATTGTACTCCTAAAAGTTGAAAATCAATCGATATTACCATGCAACATAAATTTATTAATATAAATGGAAAGAAGAACGAGAAAAATCAATGCAAAGTAAACAATGACCTGTTACCGATGATTTTCTAGTTAAATTGTGAACAATCAATTGATATTTGACTGATCCAGCTACCATTTACTTATCATCATCATCATCATCATCATCATCGTCAATCTTTCGATAAATAGTCATTGATAATGTAATCTGATTTCGAATGTTTTCATGTCTGTATTATAGAAGTAAACTGATTCATTCATTCTATATTAAATATAATGAATAGTTTGATAAGTTTCTTGACAACCGTCATCTGAAAACTGAGACATCTGTCAGTTCAGCATTTTGCTTACTTATAATAACATATATATATTAAAAATGTTTGATTCATAAAGTATTTCAAATAATTTTCACTTGTGGAATCCAACATCATGCATATTTCGTCCTAGATGATACTCGTCAGCTGGATATATATTCACATGTCAGAGTTGATCTTCATTCTGGAACTCATACTCAGTATCGATCTCTTCAAACATCATCACATTATACATTTAGTTATAGTTATAAATTGTGTGAGTGTATCATCAGCATTGATTAGAGTTTAGGGCAGAAACTATTACCCATATTATACAATGGAATCCAAAGTAAAAGTTAATGTTGTTCACTTACCAAGAATATATATAGTAAGAACCAGTGCTTGCACAAAACAGGTTTTCATTTGTGCTTTCGAAACAATCTTTTCACAACTTGTAGTTTCACAGTAATTTATACATATTTATATAGAAAGCAAACGTGTATAACCGGAGATGAGAAAATAAATCAGTGTGAACTGTAGAACGAATGCTATTCTCATGTTTCTCAAGTAGTTTAACCTGAAACATTATTGTTGAGAAACACAAAAAAATTAGTTACCAAATAATATTTCCAGTTGTATGTTTAAAACTAAACAGGGGGTGGTTGCTAAGGGTATTAATATTATGTCTTAAACATTTAAAAGTACTCGAGTATTAGTCTTCAGATCTGAAGTGGTGTTGTACTTCAGTAAAATATTACTCAATCATTCTATAGCACTAATTTTAATGTGTTTAACAGTTGTAATTCATCTCAAGAATCAAGCCATATTACATGTTTGCTATCTTCTACACAGTGCATTTAAAATATAATCCATTTACAAATTGTTTGTTCAAACGCAAACATGACATTTTGTATGGTATTATTGGTAAAGGCATATGCTTGTTTTCATTTATTTATTCCCCGCTATTTTGCGAACCAAGCAGTTCAAGTGCTGTTGCGAAAACATACAGTTCTTAAGGTTCGTACATAGAACGATCACCTTACTTGGAACAGAGACAACTGACCAAGTATCTCCAATCAACTCTGTCTTGGTAACGTCTCTTCAGCTTATGCTAATTACTACTCATCACTCTTATTCATGATTCCTTGTTGACTGGTTAACATTCACAAACGATGAAAGGTTATTCTTTCTCGTCGAAAGATTTAGAGCACATTTATTGACATTTAACAAATAGCAGTCACCTAATAATGATGGTTGTCAAAATGGACAAGTTTGAGTTCCATACGATAATTTAATACAGAACAAAGTGACAGTTCTTCTGAACTTCTCGTCTTCCCTTGTTCAGACTGTGCTCAATCAGTTACATTCACTGCAGACAATGCCTGACTGTTAGCTACCAATTACATTGTTATCCAAATATCATTCACTGTCTCCCACCTAGACCACTAATACTATTCACTTATAAAAGCTTCTTTGCCTACTGCCTACTGCCGTCTTTCCATGGAAACAGTAAACAATGGATCAAAACATTGCTTGCCATCAGTGGTCGAAAACATAATAATATTTCAGACCATTCAGTTTGTGGTTATTTCAGAAACTCAACAGGAAACCGTCAATCTATGTGAATTGTTTCAAAATACCCATGAAATTTATTCATGATTAAAGGAGAGTAACCTGTTGAAAATTGTGTATCACGTTATGATATTCAGTGAGAGTTTGTAGTCTGCCATTTTTGGAGTCATGAGAAAGCATTTGGGATTCTCTGTTGCAAAATGCGTAACCTGAATGGAGTGCTTGAATAAAACAGTCAACCATAAGTTTATTGATTTATATCCGGATTGTGATAAGATGTGACATCCAGAACACCAATTTCATCATACGAGTGAGTCGTCAGTTAATTGTATGATAAAGTGTACTTAGAACCCTGATTGTCAAATCGGTAATGGATATCCTCAATGATTGTACTAATTCAAATTGTGTAACTATTTGTGGAATTCTCCTCTATAATGAATACCAACAATAATGTATAATGATTAATGAAATATTTGAATAGTATTTGGTGTTAAGTTGTAAATTCTGCTGTTTCACTTATGCAGACGATCTCACAAGTTAACGATTCAAATACACCAAAACCCATCAAACATATTGAAACAACATCGGGTGTCACTGAAGTTCAGGTTGCAGAAAACCTTAGGGAAACGTCCAAAGAAACTGCTCAACACTCGGTAAATACTTGATGTTTAGTAATATATGTTACGTCATTATTTTTCTTTAGAATATAACTACCGAAACAATCGAAGTCAATAAACATAAGAAATCACCTCGGTACTTGTACATTGTGATTCCTCTGACCATCTGTTTACTTCTTATACGTATCGGCTTCCTATCTGGAACGAGGAATAGTAAGTGATTATCAGAAATATATTATAACCTGCTTTTGTTATTCTGTCCAACTTGCTCCCACTTCTTATGGAATTAGAAAACTTTAGAGTTAATAATTAATCTCAGTAATTTGGACAATTTCCTTATGGAACTATGAATATTCTAATGCTTGTTTACGTAATAACTGATGTATTCCTGTTGATAAAATTAAAAACACGGTTTTTATTGTTTGCTTAATTGTGTTCTTTTAATCGAAAACGACTTGTTTAACGAGAGTTCCACATTTTATTTTTAAATGAGTAGTGTGTGTAAACGTGATTTCCTAATCAATATAATCAATAATGAGTCCATTGTGAATGTTCATCTCAATGACTTCCCACTACTGGGAATTATAATTTGGAATTAGGTACAGTTAATGTTTTATACTGGACTGACATAATACACTCTCAATAAACACAATTAAGCTTCAAACAAGATCACGATGCTTTGAACAAACAGTTGATAGTTGCGTATGTGAAAAGATAACAAATCAGCATTGCACATTGAATTCCAGGTTTACAAGGAACACATACTCCACAGTTGGAGCTGAAGAAGTTTTCAGTCAACTTTATCGTTCTGAAGTGCGCTGCAAAGATGATTTAAAAAATGTTAGTCCACACATTCCTAAAGATAAACTGCAATCAGTTTCGAAAACAGTTGTCATTCTTTATGGTCTACTGAAACAATTTGGTTTATGTGGTTCGCCAGACATAATTAAGAAAGAGATGAAGAGCACAATCAGTGAACTGACAGTAGATGAATTATGCAAATATGATTTAGGTATTTGCGTTTAGTACGAAATATTGTTTGACCACACACTTATTGCTGTCTTGCTTCATCCGCATGTGATAAAATATGTACATTCTCTGTATTTGAACTCAAAATACCAGAACGTTTTGTTGACGTTTGCCTTTTTGAAACTAAAATAATGCGACTAGCTCTGCTTATAAGTTTACCATTTTTAGTTCAATTTTCTTTTCAGTCTTTATGTATTTGGATTTAAATAAATCATCCATCTAGACACATGAAATCAGTTATTCTAGTGAGAGTTGTCTTGCATTAAAATTAACTCTAATAACAATTTATTGTTTATTATCCAAGTATCACATTCTGTGCATGGTTATAATTTTCTCATCACTCACTGAATCACTAATGTGAAATAATAATCTTTCATACATTCTATTTCAGTTCATAATGTGCAGAATGAGGTCAATGAAATGAAAGCGATACGCAAAGACTTAATTCGTTAGTTATAATGTCTTTAAATGCATTCACGTTTGAATAATGTAGTAGTGTAATATTTGAATTCATGAGTCACTTGAAGCTGAACCAGCATGGAAAGCCTGGCAGCACTGGAAGGCTGTTTCATCTTAGTACGGGACTCCTCGTATGTGCATATTCACGATCTCACCACGCGAGATTCGAATACATTATTACATTGATAATGAAATAAATAACACATATGATGTAATAATAAACTATCAAGTCTAACCTTGGTGTTGAAAACATATGATGCGAATTTCAATAATATGTGCGACTGATCTAGTTGTTTCTATAAGTAATAAGGTTAGTTTAATTGGAATTAATGATAACTATTCAATGTATTACATATTAGTCTGGTGAGTATCCATCTGCTATCATTATTTTAGGGGATTTAGTACAAACTGAAAAAGCAGCTAGAAACACATCAGGTATGTTGAAAATTAGCCAAATATCTTCATACAATTACATTCATTTAAACAACTGCTTTATGTCTGAATATGTTAACATTTATTCTTTGTTTATTAGATTCAAAGAAACGAGGTATTTTAGAACGTGAAGTAGAAGATCTTATAAATGGAATAAATGCCTTGGAAGGTGAATACTGATTTTATTAGATGATTGTTTAACACTCTACTTATCATACATGCAGAAAGTGTTCATGTATGAAGGGCAAATAAGTATTCAATTTGTACAATTAAATCAATGTCAAACCATCATTGTAAGCCTAGAAGCATTGGAAAGCCGTTTCGTAATGATTTGAGACTCCCGCGTGTAAGATCTGGATCCGCACAACTGCAAAGTCCCATAGTAAGACGAAAGGACCGTTCAGTTTTTCCACGTTTTAAATGATAGTCTAACATTCATTCATTTAAAGATATTAATTGAAGTTCAACAATTTTTATAACCTTACAAATTTCATTTTTTTACACTTTACGGCACATCTGAATATATATCACATTAGAGAAATTAGAAAATTCTCAGAAGAATTTCATAGAAGTCCTTGATAACTTACGTTTTGGTAAGTAATAATTACTGAATTAATAAGTAAATAATTTTTCTTCGGCGAGACTATAATTTCTGAAAGAAGAAATCACCTACAATATAACAGGTCTCGTATTTCGGAGTGATGTTCACTCATACATTTGGCTAAGTAAAGTTTTGACATAATGGATTATTTTGATGATAGAAAACTACCTAAACTTTGTGCTGATTATATCAATCAGTAGAACGATGAAGGATCCACAACAAACACATCCAGCTCAGGAAACAAGCTCCAACTAAACCATCGACCTGATCTACAAATCACCATCTTATAATAGCTGCTAAGAATTCTTGATGAAAACTGTTATCTGATTTCTAACCTTATTTATCAACTGTAAATCATAACTATTATTTCTCACAAACGTTTAAAACCCTAATTTGATTTTAGTCATTAGGTAGATACTCTTAGGGCAAATCTAGCTTCTCTCAAAGGTCGTTCATAAATTAAAGTCTCATTGAGTAATATAACAAGCATCATAATAACCTATGTGTTTACTGTGTTTATAATTTATAGCAAGTCCGGAGTTAAAAGCTGCAGAAGAAAGAAACCTTGATACCACCGATAAGTATTTCAATGCGTTAAGTAAGTTTTCTACAAATAAAACCAGTGAAACGTCTTCATTGTTTAAAGTCAATAGTTGACACAACGGTCAATTGTTGTCTGCATTCAGTATTTTATTTTTCAATGAGATAATGAAATCAGTATGCGATTCTAAAATGTTTGAACAAAATAGTATCATCAGAGTATAAGCAAAGATTGATAATGACTATCGGTGGAATCCAGTTTGATGCGTGTTTCATTCTATTAGAGGCTCTTCGGCTGAATGTATCTACATCTCGTAGATGATGTTCACTCTGAAACTCGAACCCAACACCTAACTCTTCAAATACTATCGCGTTTTTGTTCTTGAAAGCAATTTGAAACTTTTACTCAACAAAATCCCTTTTAAAACACTCAATCATTGATTATCCCTTAAAATTATGTTTCATGAATTGGTTAATTTAATAGTTTATAAACTTAAAGTCCGAATCTGTTAGTTTTTGAATAACATTTTTGATCAATTTTTGTTCTCAATGGTTGTAAAGATGATCACCTTGAAATATTGAAAAATCTGGAAATTCAAAGAATAGATGTCCTTGAATGTAAGTCGATGTAATGGTCTCATATTAATTGACTAATTTATGAAGTACTTTCATCGAAAAAAAGAATACAAATGTACGAAAGTATACTACAAGAAGAATGTAAGTACATTTTCATTAGTGATTCTATTACGTAATGTGGAAATGAACACGTAATTGTAACTGTCCTATTTACGAATCATTGCGAATAATATGAATGTTTTTCTTTTATTTCAGTAAACTCAATTTAACAACCAAAAAGTGTAAGTGATCACCATGGTAATGTTTTCCACTCAGTGTAATCATCATCAACTATTCTCTGTTTAGTGTACAGGTTGTGTTGATGTTGTTCTTGGAATAAAACGTAAATAGAATGAATGTATGTAGGTCCGTAAATCGTTAGTGTAATGAATGTATCTATTTCCAGAACAGTAGATTTCTCGGAATGAACTAACTTAAAATCAGACACTACCTTGTCCACTCAATAAACCATCAAATCATATCGTGCAAATACAAATGACTGTGAAGTGAAAAATGTTAGGATTCTTTCACAATTCTTCTTGAGAATGTACGACAACGTTCATTCAACTATCACCAACTTGGACCCTGATGTCAATATGTAATGGTGCATGTCGCCAAACCATACTCTCATTGAGAGATGAAATAAATAAAATAGATTGAAGTAATATATTACTGATGATAGTCGGGAAAATTAAACGTTGAGTATATGCTTTGAAATCGTGGAATGGAGACGTTTTGGATGGAGGATTACTGAAATTCGAAATCTAGAGGAAGATAAAGAGTTGAGGATTGGGAGTAATGTCAAAATCTTCAGACATCCAAGTAGTGATCGTGGTTAACGCGCCGGTCGAAATCATGTAGGCTGCACCTACTGATAGGATCGGAACAACAATCTGTGACTTCATGGACTCATACTAAGACCTGATTAGTCTGTCCGTTGGATTGAGAGGAGCCAGTCGAAACAGGGGGTGAATAGACATAAGTAACACATGTTCCAACCACCTTAGTCGTTCACAGATTACAGCTTCATTAATCAGTCTCCCGTTGAGCTTCTTTCCTCGGCTTTGTCGGCATTGACTAAGTCAACCAGTGCATCATATGTGAGAATACCAGCTCATGAAAAGTGGAAGGATAAAATCTTCACTCATAAGGAAATATTTATAAATAAAATAAATAACAAAGTTGATTAGTTTCCATCTCTGACGAACATCACATGACAATTGTGATTACAACTGTTTATAGTCTATTACCCAAACAAACATTCACCAATAAGATTATAAGCAAGATTTCATCACCGCTTTGATAAGCATCTAAATCAAAAACATTACCACGATAAATTTTGGTAAACATGGACGAATACGTCTGTTGGTCCAGAAACAGAACTATGTTCGAATAATTACATTCAAAAATCTGATGAATAGTGAACAATTGGTGAATACATTCACATCTAGGTCTGAAACCTATCTAGGCTCTACGGATTTCCTATTATCAAGACCAAAAATTAATCATCTCGCAGATACAGAGGCTTGTATTTTCTGTTCAGTGTACAGGTTGTGTTGATGTTGTTCTTGGAATAAAACGTAAATAGAATGAATGTATGTAGGTCCGTAAATCGTTAGTGTAATGAATGTATCTATTTCCAGAACAGTAGATTTCTCGGAATGAACTAACTTAAAATCAGACACTACCTTGTCCACTCAATAAACCATCAAATCATATCGTGCAAATACAAATGACTGTGAAGTGAAAAATGTTAGGATTCTTTCACAATTCTTCTTGAGAATGTACGACAACGTTCATTCAACTATCACCAACTTGGACCCTGATGTCAATATGTAATGGTGCATGTCGCCAAACCATACTCTCATTGAGAGATGAAATAAATAAAATAGATTGAAGTAATATATTACTGATGATAGTCGGGAAAATTAAACGTTGAGTATATGCTTTGAAATCGTGGAATGGAGACGTTTTGGATGGAGATTACTGAAATTCGAAATGCAGAGAAAGATAAAGAGTGGAGGATCGGGAGTCATGTCAAAATCTTAGTTAATACATTCACATCCAGGTCTGAAACCAGTCTAAGCTCTCAGAATTTCTTTATCAAAGCCAAAAATTTGTCACTACACAGATACCGAGTCTTGTATTTTCGTTCCTGTACTAGTCAAACTGATTCTTATGTGGTACTTATGAGAAGATGGCCAATCTCTCATTTAAAGTGTCACGGTCAGCTATCAAAGCAAGTCAGGTGAGAGAACGTCAGGCTATCAAACTTCAGCCTGTGGCTATGTCAGCTTACTTCTGAAACTGTATCACCACCAATGTTAATACAGACGAGCTTACTGCTCTCTTGCTTTTTTGACGCGTCAGATAATTCAGACTTACTGAGAGTTGAGCAGTCTATGTGCATTCTCGATCCAGATTGTTTGGAATTAACAGGTAATCAGAGGATGGGTGGAGCTCAATCAGATCTTTCCTCCAGATGTTTTAGTTATTAGCCCGAGAGCTAATATAAGTTATTTCATCTTCTAAGATTACTTGGAGTCTCTGAGACTTTTCGTCGCTCTTCAAACCCATTGTGATGGGTTTATGATATCTATCAACTCAGTAGGTCCCACAAGTTCATCTGATCTTTTCTGAATTTCTCATTTACGTTAGAGGTAGGTGTCACTGATGCATTTTTGGTTGTTTACAAGTGGTTACAAAAATCTTCACGACTAGCTGTTTCTCCATGAAGCTTAAATTGATCTTCTTTGAAACAACTCTAGAATTCTAGTTAGTGAAACTCAATAAATTATTTGATTATGCAGATAGAATAACATAACTTACCGAAAGTGTTTTCAACTATCCGTGTTCAATTTAGATTCAGAGACAATATTTCAACGTACATTAACTATCCATCCATCACACCATCAAAGACTTGATAGTGTAGCATGTGCTCATATTATTATTGGATGATGAACATTCTACTTTTCATGGTGCACTGCATGAAACTTTATTCATAAACATTATATCTTAAGTAGACAATTGATAAAAGACTCTACTTAACATGATGTCGTTAAGGTAACGACGTTCATACTAATAAGCAACTAATATTTTAGAATGTTACAAATTGAATTCTCTGGTTGTCAGAAAGTGTATCAGCCTTGTGACTACCGAAGGAACTCAGCTTTCAACATGAGACGTCATAACTCTTCTTAATGAAGACCTTCTAACTACCAAGACAGATTTTCAGTGGTTTGAATAATTTTTTTCTGATTGGCGTTATTTAAGCGTGTTAGTTTTTTATGAAATGGGATCTCTAACTTCATGCTTAGTCTTCATCCCTTATCTGAGCTTACGACACGCAGTAACTCCAGAGGGGCTACAGGTGGAGTTACAAATGTAATGCGTTTTGTGCGGTGTACCTCAGCCCTAAAATAGTTCGAGCTGTTTAGTAATTTGAATATAAAATAGAATTCAATTATCATATGGTAAACACACCTACATATTCCAAGTAAAATCTCATTATCCAATTATCTATACACTTCTTATAATTTTAATGAATGTTATTTCAGTGTCTATATTGTTATAATCATTGATCTAATTCCCATCACGAAACATGGATACAAGACTTACCACAACTAGTATATCTATTATCACACTATCAATTTGTACTCTTTAATTAACATCTTTATTAATGTAATCTACTCCACTGTTATCACTGGATCATAAACTGCCTTGAATGGTTTAATAATTTCGTATATACATGAGAATCTATTAGAAAACAATATTGTTGTGGAATAGTGGAGAATATTTGTAGCTCAGGTGAATGATTTGGATGGAGTTTCGTTTGCTCAACCGGATGTTTTGGTCGTTGAGCTTCCAACGTTTTCCGCAACGTTTTCTCGACCATTGTTGGTCATTCATCAATTTTAAAGTCAGAGAAGGTTACTGGTCTGTGGTTCGAAGAAATGTGCGTCACAGTCGTATGTGTAATTCCCTGCCATGCGATAACCATTCGTTCATATGAAGGTTAACTGAAACCGTCTGAAATATGCTAATTTTAGGGACAGTGGCATTCAGTATTGTATTCTTCATTGACCAATGTTACAGGAAGCTTTTCAATCCACAAGATGTTTTGAACATGCATCATGAAGTGTTCTTATGAGCCGATCTCCCAGGTAAGCAATGTGCCAAAAAGAAAATTGTGAATGGTAGGTGACGAAACCAAACTGAAAGCCCATGTCGCTTCTCTTGTTGAGTTTTGTAATTATCATATTCATGAAGAAAATGGTCTTCAGTACGTTTGGATTTCAAATATGAAGTAAGAGTCTAGCCTTTTTTTATGAGGTCACTGTGGCCAATTCAGGAAATATGGAAATGGAAAACCTTGTAGGAGAAGTGATTCAGGAGTTGGCACCAAGAGACTGACATTATCATTTCATTTATATTTTGTGTATTTTCAGTGACAATTCATCCATTATGGCGTACAATGTTAACCGTTCATTATCTAGTTTTACAGTCGCTTCCGTTTACTTCGCATTTGACTCTCGAATCAACATCATTCTTATGTTGTCGAAAAACTAGCTGACAAAATTCTGTGATTCTGAGAAACCAATCACTGTGTGATAATGAGTACACTTTCATGAATGATAAATAGTGAAAATGTACAAACTAGAACTAATGAGAATTAAGTTCAATGCTTGACGAGGTAGTTACAATATTTCCGTGCGAGTAATAGGTTGTATAATTTGGACATGATTCCCGGTATATGTGCATCATATCCGTTTCGTAGAAGGTGAGAAATATTTACACAGTTACAACAATAATATATTCTGAAAATAATAATTACAGAATTCAAAACAGTTTACAGACATGATCAGTTTGATATAAATAGCATCATTTGATGTAGAGAACAAACATGAGATATGATTATTTAATGTTCGCTAGTTTAGTAATTGTAAAGTAGTTTATTTATGACATGGATCACGGCAATCCAATGCATCAGCAGGGAACTTTTATTTTCTCCTAAGTGGATAGCCTGATGATTTATGAGCGGTGTCCTTCAAGGTTATTTCCAGTATGTGGACGAATTATTGATAATTATCTACAACTAGAGAAAGTAAAATTGAAACAGAGAACGCGGAACAACAAAACAATGATTGCCAAAATATGTCGGTCAGGTTTGCCACTGTTCATGTTAGATATTATTCGAATAAATCAAAGTTGCTAGGGACATTTTTAGTGAAAAGTGACAGCAAGTAAGTGATTAAACATTTAAAGTTCCTATCATTCACTTTGAGTCTCATCTTCCATAAACGATCGGCCTCAAGATTATTACACCTAGAATTATAAGTCATGGTACAATC